AGAAGAGAATGAAAGAAAGAAATAAAGAACAAGTTCTGGGGGATGAAATGCGGAACACAATGGAAATGTTGTAGAAATGATAACATCCGGTTGTCTGGCCCGTCCTGTTGATCTCCCTGGTAGCACTATGGTTTCATGTGCACCCTTGTTGTAAGGGGTTGGGGGCGGTGGTGGTAGGGGGAGGACGTGGTTTCGTTGATTAAAATAACCTCGTCAGTGTAGTCGTTCTGTTGTACAACTAGTCGGGGGATGATGAGTAATCGTCTGGCTTAGGAAATCGTCATGACAAGGGCATCGGACAAAACGAGGGGCGGAGAGGAGAAGAGCTGCAGGTCACCCGTTCAACAAGATCAAATACGAATTAAATAAACGATAATAATTAGACTGCGGATTTTGATTGCGCTTCTGGGAAATTTAAAATTACAAAATCGTGTAAAATATAGGCAACGTAATATATAAAATTATAGAAAATATACGAGGTATGTTATTTATCATAACATTCAATGAATGAAATCAATTTCTGCTTACAATTAGATTCCATTTGTTTAATTAATATTATATAAAAATACAAGTTTACACAAAAGTTCGAAGTTTAATAATGATACAAATTTAAATCTTATCTTTTAAGTAAGTAATTCGAAAATTATATAATTATGTATATTTTCTCATTCGTTAAATAATTTAATGACAAAAAAAATAATCAACGAGGCAAACGAAATGGTTTGCACGAACGAGTATTTAAATAATTAATTAATTATAGAATATTTAATGTACGAAGTAAAACTAGTCGTACTTTAAAAGTGAGTTGTCTTAATTTTTATCATAATTCTTTTATTAGTCCCCATTATTATTACTGTTTTGTTCAAGCTTAAGTTAAGTTCAAGAAATTTACGATTTATAAAAACAATAGTTATACAATAGTTATGCAATAAACGTATACAATATTACTTATAATAAAATGTATCAGTTGTTTATAAGTCATAAATTTAATGTTGAATAAAAAATAATAGCAGTAATAACAATGAAAGCAAAATTAATAAAAAAATTATAATAAAATAGTCAGGTATTCGTAAATTTTACTTGAAGCAAATAAGAAAATAATTCTCTAGAAGTTTAAATAAGGGATGAATTTCACAAGGGAAAAATTAATGGAAGGCAATTGGCTGTATGATAGGGGCGGTCCTCGTCGTTAATATTCTATCCAATAAATGGACCTCAACGACCCCATTTTGTCTGGCAACCTGTTCCTAATTTTCTCCCCATTAAATACATCCGCTTATTTAATACGTACACTTGTACAACCTGACAAATGCAGTTTACGAATATATATATATATATACATAAATTATAATATTATCTTTCTAACATTATTGGCTTTTCGTAAACGAAACAGAAATTACCATTTTTGATAGTAAAACTGGATTTTCAATTTTATAATATATTTACGAAAATTAAATACATAATTACGCAATCTCAAATCAGCTTTACTTAAATAAAAAATGTAACAAAAATTATAAATGATCGAAGCACAAAGGAAAATTCTTATTATTTACTAGTAACCATTACTAGTTCATATTAAGCTTTGAAAGATTAAAATAAGATTAATATAATAATTTAAGATTGATAAAACGATGCTCTAAATTGAAAATCTAATTTTACTACCGCAACACATAATTCTTATTTATTACTAACTATTCGTAGTGAAATATCAGTATGTTCATGTTAAAAATTGTGAGAAAAGATTAACTCTTAACTGGTATTATCGTATATTGAAAGCTATAAAATTTAAGTTTTACATTTCTTAAGTTCGAAATTTTTAATTTGATTTGTTAATATAATACAAATTATTATAATCATCTATGATTCCACGATATCACTTGAGGATTAGTTATAACATTCAGGTCAAATAACAATTTCTTGAGTTTAAAAAGGAAAAGAAATACAATTTACACAGGTCTGTTTTAAAAAATTAATCTGTCGTTTGCAAAGAATCATTTTACTTTGTGTTATCGCATTAGAATAAAATGCGCATTTTCATTCATTATTATCGTTAGGTCTTGAGGGAGGATTTATTATTTTGAGGGAATTTTATTTCTATTGCACTAATTACGAAAATACTGTATTTTTATAATTTGTAACAACTAATGTTTGTAATATTCACGTTTAGCAATTGTATTTCGCGAACGAATCGTAACGAACGTAATTTGATAATGGAAGAACACTGTGTTTTTTAGTTAACTGGCACACAGCAAAATTTCATATAAAGAAGAATAATGTATTGATTAAATATAATTTTTTATATTATAATAAATTTTTTATATACTATATTTTTACTTATTATATATTATATTTAATCAATTATTTGATTAAATAACGTATTAATGATTAGAAAACAATTATGTACAATTTTGTATACGTATGTGCAATAGAAATTCATATAATATTTATAGATCTATGATATATCTTTGCGAAGGCTAAACAAATGATAAGTAGACACATCGAAATCACTATCGTAATTAAACATAATGTAACATACATTATACAATAGGCTGCATTTTCATCAAGTCTTTCGTAACTGCAGAAAAGTAGATCAAAGAAAGAGTAATAAATATACGAGTGTTAATAATTTCTCTTCAACCTTTCTCTTCCATTTCCATATTTGTTACTCCGCCTTTATATGTAAGTGCATTTAATCACAAACATCTTTACAATTTGCCACAAGAAAAACGTGGCAACGATAATTTTATACAAATATGTGAATAGAACGTGAAAATCTGAGAACGAGATAATCCATAATTTCATAAAATAGAATTACATTTGATAAAAGAGTTGAATAGACATATATTACCGCAGAATAAACAACCGCTATTAACGTTGGTAAAAAAATATCTATCATAATTAAAACTAATACTAATTTTTAATATCTCTCCTGTCATCCACCACGGTGTCTCTAATCAAAACAAAACAATTAATAAAATACATAATCATAATGAAATTAATATAAAAATATTTCGCTAGTATTTGGATCATTAAAGTAGCGAGAATATAAAAAGAGAAGCCAGAATAAGAGAGAGTGAGAAAAGGGTAGAAAGAAAGAGAGAGAGAGAGAGAGAAAGAGAGAGAGAGAGAGAGAGAGAGAAAGAGAGAGAGGGAGAGAGAGAGCGTCGTCCAGAAAGAAAGACTCGGCGGACAATCACAGAGAAAATCAGATGGAAAGGGAAAAAGAGAAATACAGCGTAGCGAACAGAAAGGCTCCGTACAGGAGGCGAGCATAGAACGCCAACGAGAGAAAAAGCGAGAGCAAGAGAGAACTGTACTCAGTGCATGCAATCTTTTTAATTATGAAAACACGGCTTTGTGTTTCATTTTGTTTTGTCGTCAGGGGCGCTATTCTATTCGGGCCCTTCTCCTTCCTCATCCGGCTGGTTCTTCCTTTTTTTTTTTTTTTTTTTTTTTTTTTTTTTTATATTATAACGCGCGCGCACCCGAAGTCAGGAGAGGGTGTGCAGGGCTGGATAGGGTTCAGGAGAGGGGCAGAGATAGGGCAGGGTGAGATTGCTTTAGTAATGAATTACATGGCTTCGGGGTATGTGCCTGTCTGATGCGCTATACGAATACCGAGCATCACTTTCTGGCTTTCGCTACGGCTCCTATCACTAAACTCGCGCGCCTCCTTCCTCCATCTCTTCTTCTTCTTCTTCTTCTTCTTCTTCTTCTTACGTTTGTTCTTCTATTTCCTCGCTTCCTCCTCTTCCTCCATCGACTTTTCTCGCTTCCTTCTTCTCCTCCCCTACTCTTCGTCACTTTTTATTTTTTTATTTTTCAATTTTGTCCTTTTCTTCCCGATTTTCCAAATTCTCATATCTTTTTATTCGCCCTACGTTAAATTGATAGTTCGAGATTTCTTAACCCTTATTTCTTTCCATTTTATGTATCTTCAATCAGTACTTCGAAATCATCAATTCTTATATCTTTTCATTTGTTTTATTTTAAATTAGTAAAATTATCAATCGTTGAAATGAAGCTTAACATTATCAGACACCTTTGTACACGTTCTTTGGATCATTTTCAGTTCTACATGTATGCATGATTTTTTATTTCAATTTTTATGTTGAGAGTTTTTAAATTTCATCTTCTTGTTTGCTAAAATGAAAGCAAGATTGAAATATAAAAATTCGATGATTATAGCAGAATTAAATTCAGTTGGCATACTTAGTATTAAAAAGAACAAAATATATATATATTTTGCCATTTATTGCGATTTTGCTTATAGTTTTATTCGTTCACTACGTTTCAATTCATTTTTTATTTCTTCTTTTGTATTAAATACGTACCTACTAATAATATACTATATACTACGTACCTATTAATAATATACTATATTTATAATATACTATACTATAATACTATATTTATAATATACTATATAACCTACTATATTTATAATATACTATATTATATTATAAATACGTATTTGTATACAACACAATATTGAATTATCTACATGTAGTTAATGATTAAATTTTATGCGTTCTGAAATGAATTTTTATTGCGATTTTATATTAAAATGCGTAATTAATATCTTTGGCCATCTTACTGCTAAGCAATATACATTCACATTAAATCATTGACAGAAAAGCAATAAATTTACAAATTTTAACAATTATTAAAAATTTATCTATTATGGCTCATCTTAATTCATAATAATAAGTACATAATTAAAGTTATTCAAATTGCTTGGATATTTCTTTGAGGTAATAATCCTCCTTTTAAATAATCTTAACAAATAAATTTTACATCAAATATTTTATATCTATCACTTCATTTTCATTTATCTTATTTTCATCGCAGCAACCGTATAACATTTTCATCCTGCACGACAATCTAACAGGCATAATTTATAGTTATAACCTCGATTCGAGATGAAAGACCAAAAAGTTCGGGCTTCATCAAACTTGGAGCATAAAATAAAATATTAAACAGGCGTTGCTATTTTCCAGGAAAATTACCAACGAAACAACGAAAGTAACTGGCAGACAAAATAAAATAATAAATTGGATAAACGAAGGAGAGTTTCGAGAATGCAGATCCGAAAAAAAAAAAAAAAAAACGAGAGGAAATCTTGAAAAACCAAAAATTCACGTATCGCCCTCCTTTGGAGGAAAAATTCTGCGCGCTACGATTTAGTGAATTTTCCACAAGAGGGGTGTGTACTTGTCTCCATGGAAGTGGTGCCGCCCCTAAAAGGGATGGACCAATCCCGTGATATAAACCAACCCCTGTTCCGCACATAACTCAGAGCTTGATCGAGGGTGAACTCTCGAAAGGAGACTTCAGTTTTCTCGGTGTCGTCTATCGAGAACGATAAAACGACTCTATCTCTCGCAGTGAGATTCGCAGGGTAAAAAAGAAAAAGAAGGGAAGGAAATCGCAAAACTATATCCCTGATAGTTTTGGCGAACAAGCGGTCACGAGAGGATGGCAGGCCCGTATTTATCACCCTTAGGCCCTCAGGCTGATTTGCTTACCGAATATATGTTTGGAAGACGTCGTCAGGTCAGTGTACGTTTCTTTTTCGCTTCGTTTTACTTTCATTTTTTTATATTTTGACACATTCGTGTGCTTCTATTGTTAAAAACAATATCGTGTTCGATTCCTCGTAGAACCTTTATGTTCGTATTTTTCCCCGGCGATCTGCTGTTCTTCTTTCGTTATTAACCCTTTGGATGCTTAAAATGAAAAAAAAAAGTTTAATACTGAATGAGGGGCATATAACAAATTAAAAATGCATGTATGATATATGTTTTGATATATGTTTAATTATTTAATATAGTGTAATATGTTATCCTCCAATCAGTAAACTAATTATTTTATTATTGATTATAAAATTATCTGTAAAATAGCTTAATATACACTCGAAGGATTAATAGACTGCAGATTTATATTTTATTGAAAACGTAGTAAAGAAAGCTTAGTAGAAATGAGTAAAAAGAGTGGTCCAATTTAGGAGCCGATCCAAATTAGGGAATTTTCCTCTGGAATTTTTACTTGTTATTATTCCTTTCGTTGTTAATTTATCAAGGGCCAGCTTTCATTTGCAATCCTACCAATCCACTACCAATTTCATTTATAATTCTTCTTAAATTCTTCAATTTATATTGTCAAGTTTTCGTTTTTAATGTAAAATGAGAGTCCAAGAATTCGTTCAATATATTTTCCATTACTATATCTTCTACCTATATAATTTTATGAAATTTCAAAAGATCAAAGTTTTTATTCATTTGTTGCAATTGAAAAATACTTTAGACACAAACGGTGATATACAAAATGATAAATAAAGCAATAAATAATTTGTGATCAATGATTTACATGTGAACAATTTCTGTTATTACAAAGAGAAATTTTATTTATCAGTTCTACATTATGTTTACATTCTATTATAAATCATTTATTCTATTATAATCATTCATTCATTTATTTTTTAGAAAATTATACTCGATTCATTTATTTTGTGTCGGGAGTCTAAGTATTTCACGCTCAAATGTGTAAAATGATTTTTGTAGTTTGTAGAATGTTATGTGATGTATTTTTAAAGAATTATAAACGATTTATCATCAAAAATAATTAGCTGCAATTAGCTATAAGTGTTTTGTTATTATATTAATAGATAGAGATGAAGATATCTTCATTTGTTTGTAATAAAATAGTATAATTTAATAGACACATCTGTTACACACCTAATAACTACTCAAAATATGCATAAAATTCTCTATTCTATAAGTAATCTACTGTATGACTTTTATTTTAAATATAAAAATTATTCTAATTACGATATACCAACTATTGTGAAATTAACAGTAACAACCAATGTCAAATATACATATGTAATAAATATTCCAGATACAAATAAATTATAGAAAAAGATTATAGAAAATCTTAAAAAATTAATGAAAGTATCATATTTTATTAATAGTTATTTCTATTAACTTTAATGCTTATACATTGTGCTTCTGAAATAAAAAATTCATTCATTTATGATTTTTCTTTCTGTCGATGAATTTTTCGCTAAAGTTTGAAGTATTTTCTTATTATAGCTTTCATGCATGCTTTTTTTTCTATTTCTTATTTTCCAGACTTCTAAAACAATTATGTTTTACATACGTACAAATGTTTTACATACGCATGCATATTAAACATTGCATTAATGCATAATCTGTATAAACAAAATGATATTAAATAATAAATAAAAAAATCTACTGATGTTTATTCAATTTGAATTTCATGATTTATCTGTCGTACATTATCTAAATAGCATTTCGCTAGTGTACAATATTTAGATATAATTACGTATAAAAATGTATTTGATCACATACGTATCTATATTCATTGAGTAAAATAAATTTATAATCTCATGTTTTCGTTTAGTATTTCTATGCTATGCGATATCTTCTTTTTTAATAGTGAAGTGAAATAGGATGAGATAAAATGAAATAGAACTCTAATCGTAGTTCTTCTTCCTACTTTTTCGTACTTATCTACTAATAATGATGGTTCGAAGCTTTGTATATTCTAATATTTATATTAACTATATCGGTGGTATTCGCTTTTTAAAAATATATTATTACATCTTTCTTTATTTGGAAGGAAAATTACTAAAAATTATTTTTATTACTCTTTGACACATAAAATACACACACTTGTATATAATAATCAAGGGAAGTTCGGCAACTGAAAAATTTGAAAAAATTTGGAACTCTCTACAAATTTTTAATTTACATAATACTAATGACGGAATAATTATTTTTTTTTCCTGTTAAAGAAAGATTCTAAAAATGAAAACATCTCTCTAAAGAAATTTTGAGTTTCTATGTTATATGAGTGTATACTTACGAAATTATACAATATAAAGCTCGTTAAAACGGGCATTAATAGAATATGATGATTATAGAAAAGTTAGAAATTTTTGACTGGACGAAATATGTTACGTGATTTTCAAAAGAAACGGTAATACAATTCTCCATAAATATATGTACGTCTAATCTAATAAATACATACGTCTGACGTCCATGCGTCTGATGCTTATAGGATCATTCTACTTTAAGTTTTAAGAAAGATGTTGATTATTCTTAATCTACATAGTGTCACTCGAATATTTTCAATAAATTTTGATAATTATCGACCATAAATAGACACTTTTAACTTATCTTTTAATTTAACTTTTTTTCTATATCTAATATTTTATAAATCTTCTTTTTCTAATGGAACGTTCGGATGATCAATGAATTGTCAGTATTATCAATATTTTACGATTCTCAAAATTGTCGTGCGTAAAAGCAATCAATACTTTGTCATTTAATGTCAATATTGGTCGTGTGATTACTTACGACAATCTTGAAATATTGACAATATGCAATAAATATATTAATCGTTTGAATACTTCATTACAGAGGACGTTCCGAATTCCAATGTTAAAACTTTGGGAGCGTGTAGGGAACTGATAAATTAAAAAAAAATGTCTTTTAGAGATTTACTCACATTTGCTTCATCTTGGAGAAAATCACGAGAAAAGAAACAAAAAGATTTTCATTTTCACTTGTTACTTATTTATTTACATTTATTCATGTTATCATCTTAACTGTTCAAAATGTTGGTCACTTGCAGGAGTGCAAGCATCACATCGAACATATAGATATTTTTCTGATATTTGGTGCAATGCAGCTCGATTTATAATATAAAAAGTCAAAGTTTTTGATCCTTATTCCTAGCAATACTTTTTTGCCAGAAAAAAGAATTATTCCGTTATTGTTACGACGATAAACTATATTTGTGCAAAGTTTCAAATCTTTTTGAATTTTCTTTACAAATTAAAGGGCATGACATACGTAGATATTTAAATATCTAGAGTTATATCGAACATAGTAAATATTTAAATGTTAATTAATTTTACGGTAGTGTAAATATTATATTCATTAATGAATTGTTAATTATATCTGAGTAGAGACGCAATCGGACAACTTTCACTCCACAACAACTTCAGGAATTAGAGTCGCTGTTCCAGAAAACGCACTATCCGGACGTTTTCCTAAGAGAGGAAGTCGCTCTTAGGATTTCACTCTCAGAGGCTCGTGTTCAGGTTAATAAACATAAATACTTTTTTATTAACTTATATTCATTCTTATTTTTTTTTATCATTATTAAATTAACGGAGAAAGTTTTGGAAAGATTGTCTTCTACATATTATTTTATATATATGAAATCGAATTACTTTATGCTATTGCTGTTTAAATGTATATGAATGATTCATGTCATAATAACAATAATATATATACTTATTACTTATATATACTATTATACTTTATAATATAACACATAATTAAAATAGGTAGTATAATATATTAATGTATTATTCGTGAGAGAAAGATGCGAGTAATGAATTATTTGCTGTTTTAGGTTTGGTTTCAGAATCGGCGAGCAAAGTGGCGGAAACAAGCACGACTGCAATTGTTACAAGATGCATGGAGAATGAGATGCTTGGGATTAGGAAGTGCAGCACCTCTTCTTTTAAGGCCGCCACCGACAGCGTCGTTGGAACGACCTGATGCTGCAACACCACCACCGCCGCCACCGCCACCTCCTCTACCTCCACCGCCTTCAGCTTCTGCTTCTACCAACGGACCAACTCTAACCACCAGCAATGATAAAATACCTGACACTTCAACTTTATCCGTTTGCAGAGATTACAGAATTCTTCCACCCCCTCACGGGTAACGAAATAACTTTCTTTAATTGTATAATTTAATGCGACTAACTTACGAGTGATTTTCATAGAATACATTTTTCAGATCTTCTCTCTTTCTTTTATTTTCTAAACATGCATATAATAAAAAATGAATTATAGTGAAACTTTTTATTTTTTTTTTTTTTTTTTTATGTTATATGATTAGCTATGTGTATATGTGCGTTTTAAATTAGAACTTTAATTAACCTTTTCGATCTCAAAAAATCTAAAGACATTTAATAAAATAGGATATACTTCGTGCAATTTTGATACTTGTATTTTAATTGAAATAAAAACAATTCAATCATCCCTCTGCAGATTAAATCGGTAATACAAAAGTGTGTCCGCAAATGTCATTAGATAACAGGTCACTTGTTTTTACTACTACAAATTAGATAATGTCAGTTAGATACTTGGATATTCTTTATTACCAATAGTATTTCCAATACTACGATATTACCTTCTTTATATTCGAGTAACTTTTCGATTGCCATCGGATATTTTCAATAGAAGACATTATGATTCTTTTATTCTTGAATTTCCATTCTTATAAAAAAAAGGCAACTGTTATGTTTCAGATATTCTTTGACCTGTGAAAAATCTCCAGAGAGAATGAAGTGTGGTTGTGGTTCTCCACCTAGAATATGCGGCAGTCCAGTAGAAAGAGATATCAATTTAACCGTTAGAGATAGGCCTCAAGAGGCTGAGATGGATCTTACCGTGAAAGGTCCACCTCGACACACACCGATTGCTACTTTATTCCATCAGCTACCCCAACAAGAACTCAGTCCTTCGCAAAATGCTGACGAGCCTTTGGACGTTACACTTAATGCTAACAAAAATAATTAATTGTTTTTTGTTACCTTAGTTTTATATAACTTAGTTTTTTATTCGCGACTCATTTATTATTTCTTTGGTTTTTCACTGAAAAAGATAAAGTACGATGGACAAACCAGCTGTTAAGAAAACTTGTTCCAAAGATACGTCGTTGAAATTTCAAGTAAAATGCTATTTAAACTAATTATATTAAAATACGCATGTAGTTAGTTTAAAATTAAATATTTCCTTTATTGATAACTTTCATTTTATATTTACAATATTATTCTTTGGTCTGGACAATATTACATGAGCCAAACGTAGCACTTTAGATAGCCTCCTCAGTCTCTTATTGTTTTAATTGTCTCTTCTTGCTCAATATTTTACAAGGTTACAAAATATTTATTATCTTATATATATTTCTGTTGGGATAAACAAATATAGTTTATTTTCTTTTCCATATATGTAACTAGAAATGTACATATATATGTTTTCTACATTGTCTTTACTAAATTATATTCATTAATATAAATGTATTGGTAAGAATGACAATTGATCATATAAAGTGTACTATTTATTTTGCAATAGTTGAAACATTTTTTTTTCTTTGAAAAATATGAAAAGTAATGAACTTTGTAAAAGCTACATAGAAACGCAATAATGAACAAATTTTTTTTATAAAACAGACATTCGAAAAATATTTTAATATTAGTTTCTTATTTCTTAATTGTTACGACCTAGTCATAACTTTATTTTGTTATTAATAAATATTATTCATTGAAATAAATTCACATTTACTTACATTTTACTGATAACAATGTAAAATACGTTCTAAATCTTAAAATATATACAAGAAGCACTTTTTCAAAATTCTAAAACTAAAATAATTATCTTGTAAGATAGTATTACATATTGTTTCATGCAAACATTAAATACTTTTTTCGTTTGTATAAATATTACATTTTTAAATTGTTACCCTTTGTTAATTGTATTGCTAATAAAAAACTAATGCAATAATAATGATAAAACAGTAATTGTACAAAAGATTAACATTTTATTTTATTATTTAATGCGTATTATGATTTGATAGATAAAGAACAAAAAAAGTTTCAAATATCACCATTATGATACTGTGTTATTAATAATCATGTTACAAATTTTGATATTTAAGTAAATTTGAAAAAGTGATAGTATTTAATCTTTCAAACCAACCTATATTAGGAAATAAATACATGTTAACAAATTATATTTCGTAATTATGAATGCTACAAATTTAAGGGTCAATAAGTCAGACATAAACTATTTGATTTACTTCCCTTTATTTAATAAAAAATATTATTGAGTACTTGAATAAGTTTTCGCCGTTTTTTGTTAAAACTTAAGACTTTATTAACATAGAAAAATAAACAACACCTCATGTAAAGTATTTGCCGTCATTAGATATAAAATTTTGCCACTTTTCAGGCAATAAATGAATCCCATGATAAAAAAAACCTATTCTTTTGAAGCAATCCATTCATCAAGCTAATTTTTGATATCTTTGTAAGAAGTGAAGTACTGCTCTGAAAGACCATGCTGCATAAATCGAAATAGATGGTAATCTGATGGAACAAGGTTTGGTGAATATAACATATAACATATCCCATATAAGCCATTTTAACGCTTCCTTGACCAGTCTTGTTACGTGCGGTCGAGCATTGTCATGTTAAAAAATGATTTTATTATATCTTTTGGCATATTATAGACGTTTTTTCTTCAATGCATGACTTAAATTGATTATTTGCTTTTTGTAACGAACAACAGTAATAGTCTGACCACAGATCCAACAGTTCATAATACACCACGCCTTGTTGATCCTACCAAATACACAATATGATCTTACTTCCATGAATATTCTTTTTTCTCAGGTATCATAATGAATCCATTTTTTTTTTTCGTCGCCAGTAACAATTCGATGCAAAAATGATTTCCTATTCTGTCTTTGAAGCAACAATTCGCATATGGTTAAAATGAAATAATGGAGTAAGGCCTCTTGCAAGTGTTTTTTTGTCAGCACGAAATTTGACATTTTCAATGCAAAATTTGAAAAATTTGTTGTTGACAATGCACTTAAATGGCTTGTACTGAATCTTGAAGCTTGCTTATAATACTTGTATATAGATTCGTCAAACTACTGCATACAGTGCTGGTAATATCAACTATCAGTTGCGACGAAAACTTATTATTCAAGTCTCCAATATATCCATTTTAGAAAACATAATTTAGATTTACATAATTAAAAAAATATAATGTTACTAATTTCAATTTTTTAAATTTCTTTAAATAAAACAAAACATGTATTGTTACGATCAAAAAGATTAAAAATTAAAACCATATATACTACGAAAAGTTGTATTATTAAAAAGTTAATTCAATTTGAATGTTCTATTTTTGTTGAACATTTTAAGTGCAAATGCATGATACAACTCATACTGTTATTCAAATCAATTTTTTCCTAATTTTACAAAATTCATAAATTAACAATCAAATAACTTCAATCAATACTTAACAATCAAAACACAATAACATGAGCACTATAGATAATGCATTATTATTCTATATTTGACATACGTTGATACAATAGGTTTAACATACTTCATTATCAAAAATTTGGCAAACAGATTTTTCTCTGGGCCATACAAATGTTCACTTTAAATCTTTATATGTAGAATACACATTGTGTAAAAAATAATATAAATATCATTGATTCTTTATTTGCTTATCTTACTATATTTTACTGTAAGATATTATTAAAATTAGTAAGGATTAAATTAAAAAATTATTATAAAGAATCAAATAACAGAGATTACTTTTCCATAGCTCTACAGTTACATAAGGGCAATAAAGCAAAGGATGTTACGTCCACGTAACCTGAATTTGTCATTACCATTTAAAAAGTATTGTATAATACTGGCCTAAATTCCAACGCAGTGCTCCACAATGTAATTCTTGTGTAATAAGGGCTAATTTTATTCGCGAACTCGACTTTCAAGCTTTTTAAAAAATTAACAAATAATATTTAAAAAAACAGAATTATGTTAAAACGGGTAATAATCAATTAATAACAATTCGTATATTATAATATATAGAAAAATTTGTTTATCATATAATTGTATATAAAAAAAAAAAACTTTAATCTTACTGAAATATATAATACTGACCACTTATTATAAAATTAACAAAGTTAATTACATTTGATAAAATAAAAACACATTAAGGCAGTGAATTTAATATTATTAAATAAATGTTAATCTTTCTCTTAGTATGAAATTATGTTACACATTAATATTTCATAAAAATCAGTGATAAATAAACATTAAAATTAAATAACATATACCGTTAATTTAGATTAGTAAAATATTTTATAATGTATACAATGTATATACCATTAATTTAGATTAGTAAAATATTTTATAATGCATATAAAAAGGATGATGTTATTAGAAAAACAAAGTTAGTTTTAGCATAGTAGGCCTTCAGGAAACATTGGCATATTTTTTAAAGTTTTAGAATCATTTTCTCTTTTGTAATAAAAATTATTAGGCCTATTAACTATATTAAAGTATGTCAATGTTTATATAATATTCAGTCTTATGTTATCCTTTTACTACCTTTCACAAATGTTTTGTTTCATAAACGTATGCAAAAACTTCTGAAAATAAATATGAATATGTTAAAATAAATTTAATTTCAATATTGTAATAAGTAAAAATAATGAAAGAATTTTTATAATTCTTACTTTGAAAAATCGCTACTTTTTTCTATGATATGTTCAAATTCAGCAAAACTAAGTGCACCATCATCATCTAAGTCTGCTTCATCAAGTATATATTGAAGAACTTGTTGCATATCCGTTTCATTTAATCTTTGAGGAGCAGTAAGTCTGTCTACAACCTGTCTTAAATCTCCAATACCAAGCATGTCATCTCCATCAAAATCTGTATACAACATAATACAAGTTAAACAGTAAATTAAATTTATAAAGAGATTGATAAATAAAATATAAATATTACCAAATATTCTGAAAGCATGTTCTGCTTTTACAGCTTTTGGAGCTGCATCACTAAAAACAGACATCATGTCCAAAAAGTCTTCAAATGTACAATCTCCATCTTGACTAGAGCTAAAAACTTTACAAATCCTATCTCCAAAAGGATTTGCTCTTAATTCAGGATATTGTAAAATTTTGGACATTGGAAGTTTTGCATTTCTATTATGACCAACCTTTTCTGGAGCAAGTGCTTTAAACTTTTGATGTGCACTATCACACAAAATCAAAATTTTATATCTTTTGATGGTTTCTTAATTTAAACATATAAATATTGCTAATGATATATAATAAAAAATAACTGACTAATCATAAAGTTATTAATATTTTCTTGCATATCTATATATATATAATACAAATAATATATATACATGTACATAAATAGAAAGACTAAATTAGATAGATATAAATATAATAAATAATATAAAACATATTATATACTTAATAAAAATATTTAATTATCTCATTTATTAAGTGGAAAATTAGATCATTATACTCAATTTTCATTTTTACTGGAAAATAATCAGGATAACACAAAATATTAGCATTTAAATATATATAAAATATGGTAAAATAAATCTATTCTTTTGAAATATGTGGGTATATATAATATGGATATAATTTATTTTTCATAAATGCTAAAGTTCATTATTGTAAAATGGAAAGTGAACAGCTATCTATTTTTTCTTCTAGCATTAAATAAATCTATAAAAGGTACAAGGTCAAAATAATTATTGTACATTTTCCTAATTATTATAAAAAATTATTAAATAGATTGTATTATATATATAATACTTGTATTATTTAAATATACTTACTGCAAAACTTCTTTCTTCGTAAAGTATGTTAAATCCTACAATATAAAGAAATATTAAGTAATTGAATATAATATACAAATATTTAGTAATTAAACAAAACCAAATACCTGATAAGCTTGTAATTCTTCTTCAGAAAACTGACTTTTACCTACTCCCATCTTTTATACAACTCAAACATTAATTTACTCTACACACAATTTGAAAACATTGAATACTTCTTTTTTTAAAACATTAGATTCATACTGTCCTACATACTATACTTGTCTTTAGCGCCTAAAACGATCGATAAATACCTTTTATCATCGACTAACGACAGAATAGACTTGTCACAGACAAGTCTGTGGCTTGTATAGGACTACTAAATAAAACCATGGATAAGGTACAAAATAGGTACGTCGTTTTGTAGGATTTATATATCCTGAAATACGATTGAGTAAAAAAATTAGTTTTTATTATGCATGCTTTAATTCGCAGATGATTAATTCATATATATATCTCGTCTGTGCTTAAGCGTATAGTCCACTAAAAAATTAGTGATTCTTTTCCTGGTCGGTATTTCAGACTCTGAGATATGAATTCTCATTTCATGTCTGGTCTATTCTATCTTTAGTCAATGATTCAATCCAGCGAAAATCTAGCGATAAAATTAGCAAAATATATACCTGCAATTTTTAGAATTGAAAAATGATTGCATATTAAATATTAATTTACAGATTGTAGTTTCTACACTAAAGTAATAAATATGGGAATGATACTAAAGAATGAGGGAACTATAGAACTCCCGATATACAATATAAAAATGTATTGGGTGACAGATCTATGCTGTACCTATAATTGTTCTAAATTAGATTAAGATTATTATATATCATTATGTATTTACAATTATGTAATATTCGTTTATTTAATTGTAACAGTACATGTTTCTTAATTATACAGTAATAATTTGAAAATACAATTAATATAGAACCTTTACTCGAAAACTTTTCGCGAATGTTTTCAAATATTTGGATGTTTAAAATTTATATATTTGTTTATTGCGTTCTGATTGGTTCTAAACATTAACTACGTTGCACTCTTTGCTGTTGGTCTCCAGTTACGACTGGTTACACCTTAATGTCAAACTGCATTTGCGCCGTTTATCGAAGGCTATTAATATTTGTGTGTGATTTGTGTTTTTTTTTGTTTCTGTATCATATGATATATAAATATTAAGTATGTCAAGTTTTTATTTATAAGTTGTGTATAACTTTTAATATTTTCTGTCCAAAATTATTTTTGAGCAAAGTGTAGCGACGTAAATATTGAATGAAATAAAAGAACGTTAAGAATCAACTTATTGTAACCTATAAATTTGTTTCTTCCTTGGTTAGTCATTAATGCATTTCATTGGTTCTATGTAATTGTATTAGTTAAATTATTACAGTTCTATTTATTTTTGTTTATATTGCAGTCTAAGTTAGCAGCCAATTCGTAAGAAGACGTGATATGGTTCAACAATATCAATCACCTGTTCGGGTGTATAAGCATCCTTTTCCACTCGTGATGATGGTGCGTTTATTGTATATTGTTTTATTTCAGTAATAGTATAGCTGATGTGTTTATTCTTTTATTATTATTGTAGAAAAATGATTAAGTTATATTACTTCTTAAGTTATTAAATTATGTTTAGTGAATAATATATATGTATATATATAAAAATATATACATATATATATATAAACATATATGTATATATATAAAAATATATACATATATATATATAAACATATATGTATATATATAAAAATATATACATATATATATATAAACATATATGTATATATATAAAAATATATACATATATATATATAAACATATATGTATATATATAAAAATATATAAACATATATATATATGTTTATCATGTACAAAACGTACATAATGCGCAATAACAGTAATTTATGATATGCAAATGTAATGTATGATATGCAAATTAATAAGACAACTTATAATTTCCAAAGTTTGAAAAAATATGAATGTGTTATATCTTACAGTTTTCAATCATTCATAATTCACGTTATATATTTTATGATTATGTACAGTTACTTACAAAACTGAGAATCTATATATTTTAAAAACTATAAAATAAAGAATTTTTTTATAATTCAATTTTGTCACATATGCATATATATATATATATATATATATACATATATATAATTTATGTTAATAATTCAGTATTTAATAGAAACGATATGCAGTATATAATTAAACACAATATTTAAGTACCTCATGATTATTTGTTTGCTAGAAATACATATTATATATATGTATATAATTTATTAAGAAATTTTTCATTTTATTATTATACTACGTAGATTACAGTATTATATGTTTAATTTTGGGACCAGCTGTTTATATTAATTAATACAATGAACATCTTAAATTGATTCGTGCTATGTACTATTACTATAAATCAGTTATTTATTATTTTATATATTTATATTTAAAATGCAAGTCATAAGTAACTTATTTTGAAAAAACCACCAAGACAATATCTAGCTCGTTTACTATCACGCTTGATTTACTATGATCATTTACTGACAACTGAAGATTTAGTTTCATCTATCAATATATAACAACAAACTGGAATGGATAATAAATAAATTCATGATAGTGATTACTTTCCTATAAACATTATTTATGAAGATTTTATTCAATGATCATAAAATTATCTTTCTATCTAAAATAAAATTTAAAAGGAACAAGCGCAAATTGCAAGATAAAATTAATAGTTTCCTCACTATAAAAAAAACGCAGTATGCGAGATCAATTCTCTTAAGATCAACAAGACAAAAGAATCATTTGAAACCGTCATTAATAATACAATAAATGAAGCTGTTAGCTTTAATCAGACACAGAAGACAAATTCTGCTAAAAAAATTGTCAAGCTTCGTTAAAAAAAATTACCTAATCCTTATTTTTTATAAGTTATTATCTTTCTATTTCCGCCTTTCGAATTATATGGTACCTACTATTACAATCTAGCTCATTCTAATGTGCTGGCAGTATCATATCATTGATGATCATGTCCAACGATTATTCCATTCTTTCACCACTAGGTAGTCCTTTATTACATTATCAAACACGGAAATCATGTATTCGTTTTTGAGACGATTGCAATAATGAATAGCGATCCAGACTCTACACTGATCGCTCAAACTTTTCGAACTCAGGCATATGTATATACATCTTCATTCGAATTCGATAATGATCTTAATCACTTATATATGTGCGATTTACGCGATGAGATGATGTAATAGCTCAGCGATTAAAGTACACTTTTATTATCTTATTACTATCATTTATTATAGATATGTATCGCGTGTTTTATTAAATATTATTCATGAGCAAGATTAAAATATAAAAATTCAAGGATCGTAACAGAGTTAATTTAAAGTAAATTCTTCAAAGATAGCGAGAAATATAGAACATCATTTCAGTTGCATTGCTACTCTCATTGATTTTCACTCTCATCATCAATTCAGATTCAAGAAAGCAGGAAGAAAATAAGAGCAGACAATTCCTGATGTACCTACCTTCCTCGTTAATTATCGTGGTGCGAGCTTGCAAGCTCCTGAGGCTGCGACAGCTAAGTTAGGCATCAACAAACGATGGATATATCTCAGTAAGCAAATCAGAATGAATGAAACTGTCACGAACAAATGCATGAAAAGTTTGGAAATCGTTATAGAATTACTTTCGTAAATGAGCTTCTTGGTGGACGGTATTTTATACTTAAAGTGTGGATGATTGACACTGATAGTAGTGTTATATGAAACATAGAATTATTATATACTACTGTATGCAATCTATAGATATAGAAGATAAAGAGAATGTGAAAAATAAATATTGAAATTGGTTCACGGTAGAACCGAGAAGGAGACGATTCTATATAAAAAAAAATAAGCTAAAAAGAATAGAAAGAAGATTTTCTCATACGATACTCTGTTTTCAAGAAAATCATATTTGTTAAGTATTCTTGAATTGATTAACTGGACAGAAGTGAATAATCAATAAAAGGTTATTCTACGTGTGAAAATCAATTAAAAATGTGGATTAGAATTTTTTCTTAAGACGCTTTGTTTTCGAGAAAATTAAATTTCAAAATTTATCAAGTACACATGTATACAAATACGAAACATATATTTAAAATTAATAACATATTAAATTATTAATTTTTCATTTATTAGTCAGATTATTCAGTCCTATCCAGTATGAAATTATGAAGTGTAAAAACATTTTAAATGAAAAAATGTTATTTTTTCTTTTTGACTTATTTTTACATATAGAATTATTTGTATTGCTAGCCTGTTGTACGATGAAAACTAGGATACTTATATATATAAAACTTTTTTTAAAAAACTTCCATTTATGAATATTAACAGAGATTATTTTTTATAAATATAGAACGACGAGGAAATATATTTAATGTTAAATCGTAAAATAATAAATACATAATCTTTAATTTATGAATTCCTACATCACAAGAACGATGATGTTGAACACTTTCTGCACAATATATAATATCTTTTATCGTGACTCAATAAAATCACAAACGAACTGCTTAGAATGCGTACTGATCAATAAACTAAAAAAGAAAAGACATAATGACATTATACATATTAATTATTAAAATTTATCTTGAAATCTATATACTTCATAAACCCTATGAATTAGTTTGTTTTTTGGGAAGTTAGCACTAATCACATACCTAAATAATAAAATTGAAAAGTAGATATGTATATAAAAATATATGAAATTGATCAGTTTGACTTCTGAGTGGCTTAAATATCATACAAATACATTTCAGCGATGAAGTGCATTATTATTTGATTGAAGAAAAGTTTTGTTGATTTAATAATGTGTTTATTTTATTATTTAATTTTTATGTCTTATATTTTGCATGTACCATTAATATCAACTTATAACAATTGTTACATCAATTCTCACGAATGTCAATTTTCTTTGTAGGCATACGAACGGAGATTTCCTACTTGTCCGAAAATTCCTGTTTTTGTGGGTTGCGAGATAGTTTCTGACGAAGAAAGTAAAAACGGCTCAATTAGAATAACAGAACGACGGTGTAAATTAAATGTAGAAGCACCATATATTTTAAAAAAGGTATATATATGTATATGATCGTAATATAAATATCTGTATACTGTATGCATGTACTATATGTGTATATTAATTACAGTGTCCTGCGGTTTGTACACAATATATTATAGTATACAGTATATTATTTATTTATAAAATAAATTATTTATTCATATAATAAATAATGAAAAAAAATTAATAAGATATATCTCTATAAAACTAATAATAGGATATATCTTTATAAAAAAAAAAAATGATATATCTTTTCTTAATTATGTATAGAATAGAAAATTGCAATACCTACGGAAATTTATGTAATATATTAGTAATCTTTTTTGTAAATCTTTTTTTTTCTTTTTTGTTTCAGATTATTGGAGTAGATTTCGTATATTTTATTCAAAGGAATGTTTTAGACAGACGAAATAGTGTTCTAGAGATAGAAGCCTATAATGAAAGCTTTTCATCCAGGGTAACAGTTATTGAAAAATGTAGATATTTTGTAAGTAGTTAGCATAACTTAATTATTCTTTCAAAAATTTTATTTTGTTTCTATTTTTAATGTGTTTTATTTATAATATATTAAAAATATATTGACTAATTTTTATTCAAAAATTTTTTTTCTATCATCGAGGATAGAATAGGAATCGAAATTTGAAAAATGGTATTATTCCAAAAAAATATATTTATTATTTTTGGTTGTCTTTCAAATATACAAAGTTTAAATTGGAGCTGTTTGAAATCTTTTCTTGAACATAATTATAATAATTCAAAGTCACTAGTACAAATATATACATATATCTAAGGAAACCTTGAATTTGTGTTTTCTGTATTACAGAACTGTATTATTTTATTAATGACTACATTAATTTATATTTTTATTATTGGATATATTGCTATAAATGTTATATAATAAGAAAATTTTTCTAGTAAATTATTATTTTTATTATTGAGATTAATTAATACAATGTATTTACAGGTTCATCCGGAAAATCCAGAATGGACATGTTTTGAACAAACTGCAAGTTTAGACATTAAAAACTTTTTTGGTTTTGAAAATTCAATGGAAAAATTAGCAATGAAACAATATGCTCAAAATATTGCAAAGGTATTAATTAATAATGTTAAATTTCTTTAACTCCTATTATTCAAATCGTTACAGGGTAAGGAGATAATTGAATATTTTATAAACCAATTAAAAGAAGAAGGTATTATATATGTACCTCCGTGGAAAGATCCAAATGAAACAACTGAAAAAGGTGAAGAGTAAGTTTTAAATTATTACTACCATTGTATTTTTACGTGTCTGAAGGCAGTCTGAAAACTAGATTTCTTAAAATCAAATTATTAAATTCTGATTAAGTTACATATCTGAATTGATATTAATTATTAAATTGTGTAAAGAAAATATATGATTACTTTTTATGTTCAGAAATATTGCGAAAAGTCAAGAATCTCTCGGTCCAGAAGAAACTTATTCTTATGTGGATAACAAATTACAAAATAGAGGTATATTATTTTTCTATGTTATTATGTAATAAATATAAATTCAGTAAATCGTTTTCAAAAACAAAATATTTAATCTAATTCGAAAATTAGATTTTTATCAAATGAGTATTATTTTTTTATAGTTTACATTGAGTATTTAATTATAATAATTAATTTATTTATAATAATTAACTATCGATCACTGACAAAGATTTTTTTTAGAAAACAACTAATATTTAAAACTGTGTTTCTAAAATTTTTTAACTATCGGATATCTTTCTAAAAGATTAACAGAAGATATTATATTAAAATAAAACCATTTGCTGAATTAATTATTCATAATATAAATATTTAAATATATTAAATTAATTATTGAAATATATATACACACACTTTATATTTTAGAAATGCAATTATCTTCGGATTACATAGAAAGATACTTAGGAAAGCTTGACATGATACAAGAAAGTAAGCTTCTTCAATTACGACAAAGCATAAAGGAATTGAGAGGCAGTTCAATACCTGGAGATGCGACTCTTTTAAGATTTTTAAGAGCTACGGAATTCTCAGTCGAGAAAGCAAAAGAAATGCTAACACAAACATTACATTGGAGAAAGAAGCATCAAATTGATAAATTACTTGAAGAATATGAGATACCACAAGTAGTGAAAGATTACTTTCCCGGTGGCTGGCATCATTTTGATAAAGGTATCCTATATTTTTTATTTATACTTATTATGAATAAAGATCATCTTTATCATCTTCAATTAAATATTTCATAATTAGTTATAATACATACTAGAAAATTTATTAATTTGTAGATGGTCGACCTTTATATATTTTAAGAATGGGACAAATGGATGTAAAAGGATTATTAAAATCTATTGGGGAAGATGACTTGCTGTTGCTAGTAAGCTCATATAGTATTAATAATATATGCAATACTACATATATTATTACATATATTAAATTATAATAATTGATGGTATTCATATATTTTATAGTTTTTTACAGCATTCACAATTAGTGTTGCCATTGTAGGTATTGCATATTTGTGAAGAAGGATTGGTTTTAATGGAAGAAGCAACTGCTGTTTCTGGTCATCCAGTTTCACAATGGTGTCTATTAATAGATCTTGAAGGTTTAAATATGCGTCACTTATGGAGACCTGGTATAAAGGTATAAAATTTATTTAATATAATTTAATAGTATTTTTTCAAAACAAAAATTTGACTCTATTCATATACAATATAAATTTAATGCATTATTGTTTTATGTAATCTATATGAGTACGTAAAATAATTATTTTATAGATATAAATATGTCGCTTACTAGAAGTATAAACTGTTTATATTTTTATTATAGGCTCTGTTACGTATCATCGAAATCGTTGAAATAAATTATCCAGAAACTATGGGAAGAGTTTTAATTATGCGAGCGCCCAGATGTTTTCCTATTTTATGGACATTGATAAGCACGTTTATAAGTAAGTAAAAAATATTATTTCTTAAAATCATTATTACGATTATTATACACATTTCATCTTTTATCGTTGTATGAAAAATATATTATTTTATTTAAATTCTTTATGTAGATGAAAATACAAGAAAAAAATTCATCTTTTACTGTGGTACCAATTATCAAGAACAAGGTCCAGGCAGCCTAAGTGATTATATAGACCCTGAATTTATTCCAGAATTTCTCGGAGGATCGTCTGAGGTAAAAATAATTATATATAATTTATTGATGCTTAGTTATCTTATATTTGTGGAAAATATAGTTTTAGCGTGAAGAAAAAAAATTTTTTTTTAAATTAATAATTAACACTATAAAGTACTGCATATATTATGTAAATATATATTTTTATATAAAATTGTTTTCGTGTTTTCATTATATAAGATATGTGAAAACACAATGCAAACAGTAGTACTTCCAGCGTCTTTAATATTTAGTATCAAATTATATACTTAGCAATAATGTATTTTAACTACTAGGACAATGTATGCGAGGTTTATAATATGGTACCTCGAAGATTTTATATTTTCGACGCATCTGCTAATAACGTAAGAATATATTATGTTTGATACACACATACACACAATGCGCGCGCAATATGACTATATGCGTTATTGCAAATTCGAAAATTTAATGTACACGTTTTTGTACCACATTAGCCGTGATTTTGTACCACATTAGTCCTGCTAATATGCATTATTTACTTTATTATGCTATTTATAAAATATTTAACATATATTTTTTTATTAATATCAGGCTTACATCACTGAAGGAGGAATTGTGCCGAAACATCTATATAAAATGGAACTGGAACCTACATCAGCTCAAGAAGAGCATAATCTATATCATTCTATTAGCTTAAGCCGTGGACAAATTCATCGTGTAATAATTCGTTGTAATGATCCAGGAGCAGTTTTAACATGGGATTTCGATGTAATGCGTCATAATATAATATTTACCGTACTTTATCAAGCTTATGATGATGCCAAAAATCTTTCTTTGGGTACGTATATATGAAATAGAAATATAAATAAAATAGAAATTATCAATTGCAAAAAATAATGCTTTATTGGAATTCCTTGCTTCAAAGTATTGTTCCTTAAACAGTTAAGAAATATATAGAGTAATAATTATCCTATATACACAAAAATTGCATGTTAGTATAAAATGCAACATATGATGTCATTTTAACAACTAGAGAATAATAATGAACTTAATTTGTCAGATTATGAGATATATCTTAATTAGCACTGTGATATTAATAAACGTCTCAAGATAAAATATTTAGTGCTGTTAACAAGACTTTTTGCAGTTACAGTTTTGCAACAAGTTTGAAATATGTTTTTATAAACTGTTAATTTCATTTTTCTTCTTTATGTCCCCTTCCATAACGTTTATATTTTTTGAAAATCACCAATATCCGACCGTGATATAGAATATATTACAAGAATTTTAATATAATTTAGAAAAAAAAAATATTGTAAAAATATTAAGCAATACATTAGTCAAATAAAATATTTCATTATATTTTTATTTGAAATAATTATATGAGTAATCAATATAAATTTTTTAGAGTCTGTTACGGAAGAAGATGCAGAGTTATTAGAGATGAAAGAAATTAAAGGACATTTCATTAAAGTCGAACCAAGCGTTGTTTGTCATGATGGTGAAAGTATTCAAGTAAGTACATAAAAAAGTTTATTGATGTTTTTAAGTATGTACAAAAATTCTAACATGTTTTCTAATAATTTAATTCTTTATTTTTTAATATTGTATGATATAATTCTTACTCTATAAACAAATCTAATTGTATCCAAATACATATAACAATCATAACTTTAATAGGGTTCTCATATAATGCAAGATGCGGGTATATATATATTGCAATGGAACAATCAAGATGATCCAGGAGAATTTCTTCCATCCATTAGTGGTCATAAAGCTCAGCTTATGTATTTCTATGAAACATTATCTTCAGTTCATTACAGGTATTTTATGGACAAATTAATAATAATATTTTTACAAATAGTATTTTTACAAATTAATAATCTATATTGTATATAAATATAATTGTGTGATCTAACTTTTAGGGGATCTATGATGAGCTTGCAATCTGCTATAAGTACAAAATCAGAAGCAACTTCATTTTTGTCCAGATGACGTGTAAACCATCCATTATAGAGCATTTACCAACGTTTGGAATTACCAAAGCATTGAAAAAATGGCTTTGTTTAAATAAATTTATTAATTTGTTCTAGAATTTCTTCCATATTGCAATGATATTATATTATTATGAATTTTAATTCATAACAGCACTGTATATTTTAAGTAAGAGTTAATTACTAATGTAATTATTCAGTAGAGTGCACGAAATTTTAATTCTAAAAATATGTAAAACAATTTAAAGTATAATTAAGATTTTAAATTTGGAATTAACATAGTGGAAGCATTAATATTCCCTTATATTCATTTCAGTCTTTTAATTTCTATTTAAACACTATTTATGTACTTATATTTAACTTTTCTTTCTTACACAGTTCTTAGAACATGTAGGTGGTTATATTTATATCCTTGTAGAAAAAACTGTAATGTTATTAACTCTTTTTTTACAAATAAATAGATTTAATAAAAAAAAAATTTTAAGCATTAACCTTATTGCACGCTATTGCCTCTTTGTCACCCGCGCATATATGTCTCCTAGTCTACCGCGCGTATATGTCTGTCCTTGTCGCACGCTGTTGCTCTCCTTGTCTACCGCGCCTATATTTCTGTCCTTGTCGCACGCTAGTGCTCTCC